TTAGCAGGTGGGTTGTTGTTGTTACTAAAATAGTTATTATTATTATCACTAAAGATCAGAAGAACAGAATTCCTCAGTGGGAACTGCAAAAAACCCCACAAAAACACGTTACAACAAAAGTCTAAAGATCAACCAATTTTAACTTTTTTCTTTCAGAGTTGCTCATCTATCATACTTAGGAGGGTATCACTCCCCACTTTTGGTATGTTAATAATTGATGGCCTTTATTGGTATCGATTCTTAGATAAAACAGGAAACTTCTGATTTTTCTTCCATTATATAATGATATGCAATTATTTGTGTTATGAACTGAATTGCATCCCCCCCAAATTCCTATGTTGAAACTTTAACCCCCAATACCTCAGAATGCGACTGTATTTGGAGATAGGGTCTTTAAGGAGGTAATCAAGTTAAAATGAGGCCATAAGGGTGGGCCCAAATCCAATCTGACTGATTTCATTATAAAAAGAGGAGATTCGGACATAAATAGAGACACCAGGGGTGTGTGCTCACAGAGAAAAGGTCATGGTAGGGCACAGTAAGAAGGCAGCCTTCTGTAAGCCAAGGAGAAAGGCCCCAAGAGAAACCAAACCTGCTGACACTTTGATCTTGGACTTGAAGCCTCCAGAACTGTGAGCAAATAAACTCCTGTTGTTCAAGTCAACCAGTCTTTGGTACTGTTATGGCAGCCCTAGCAAACTAATACTCTCAGTAATGATCCCCTTAGCTGAACTTGGGTCTTTAACTAGAATATAAACAGTATACACATGAAAATAAAATTTTTTTGAAAGGCAAGTTATTAATTGATCATTTTCATTTATAAGATAACATACCTAAGACTTCTTTAAATTATAAATTCTTTGGTACATTGTAGAGTTAATTCACAGACCATTAATTACTATCAGTGAATGTACATTGAACATTAGGTCAATGCTGATTGTTGATTGAAAAATGTACATGACTCCCATTTGCCCCATCTAAATTAGGCCCCTTTGTTACACTCTGTCATAACAATCCTTACTCTTCCAACATAAGACTTACTGATTTGTAACTAAATATTTATTTGAGATATTATATATTTAAAATCTGTCTCTCCACTGGACCCTCGATGTGACATGATCATCTCCGCTTTGTTCACAACTATATGTGCAACATCCAGCACAACGTCTGATCTTTAATTACTGTTTGAGTGAATGAATAAAGAAATAATGAGGTTCTGAGAACCTTAAATTGGACAGGTTGTTGGGAGGCTTTAAGGTTGCCTTGAATCTCCTGAAACTGTGTGCAAAATTTTGTTCATGTAGACATTTCTCTGAGGACAAGACCCACAACTTTCATGAAATTTCAAAGGAATCTGTGATCACCCCCCAAAATAAGGAATCACTGGCCTATTTCCGCAATAAAATAAGATTCAATACCAAAGAACTCACCTGTAGCTTAAAACAAAGTATGTTACATGTACATTTACATGTACAGATGTGTAGGTGTATGTATATATGTTTGTGTATAATTTTCAAGAACAGAAATAGAAATGCCTCAGTCAATTTACAGAACAATTCACATTCCTACTTCCCCTGAGTAAATGATCATTCCTATAGTCACTGGGCTTGAGCAGTCGCCGTCTGCATTCATCTGTTTCTTGGCAGCAACATCCATCACTCAGGCCAGAGAAAAGGAGTCTGTAATTCCATCCTTTCACCTGTTTGGGATGCTGACATCCTCTCTGAAGGAAGTTCCTTTTAATAACAAACATGTAAACCTCCCGGTTAACAAAGGCACTGAGCTGTGTTTATAAAGCACAGGTGCCCAGCAATTTGATCAAACAGCACTGGGATTTCCCTTCTCTCACCCTGCAGCCAGAGAAGAGATCCAGCATAATCAGGCTAAAGAGCCCTCTGAGTGCTGTGCGCATTCACAGCAGAGGGAGGCTACAAGATGGGCTGGAACACACTAATTGGTGGTTGTATATTAAATCTCTTCTTCCTTCTCTCCCAATTCCAGAAGATACTTCCCTTCAATAAATGTCCTCCCTCGTTTTTGTCTTAAAATGAAGATTTCAATAGTAAATCTGTCACAGGAAAGGTTTTGTTTTCGATGGGCCATTAACTCTCAGTTATCCACACTACAAGAGAAGAGCAGGAGTGCAGATAATTCAAAGCCAAAGGCTCTATTTAGCTCTGTGGTTCATTGTTTCAAGGGGCTTGGTGGCAGACTTACCTCCCTAATTATATTTGTCTTTGTTGCTTATTAAAATGAGTTTGTCTGCCTTGGGGCCGGGAGGTTGAGTGATATAAAGACTCTGGAACAGAATTTGTAAAATTCACTGGGGGAAGTTGTTTCAAGGGGCTTGGTGGCAGACTTACCTCCCTAATTATATTTGTCTTTGTTGCTTATTAAAATGAGTTTGTCTGCCTTAGGGCCGGGAGGTTGAGTGATATAAAGACTCTGGAACAGAATTTGTAAAATTCACTGGGGGAAATCTACAAGGAAAAATAGAAAATCAAACTTGACTAGATTTGAGTTCATTTTCTTTCTTTTTTTTTTTTTTTTTCCTTTTTGTCTTTGATCTGTGACCGGCAACAGATCGCAACCCTCGGTGTTGCGCCCACACCTCGCTCAGCCAGTGAGTGGCCGGTCTGTATGTGGGATCCGAACCCTCGGTGGGAGCACCACCGCGCTCCCAAGCGGCGCACTGTGGCAGTGCGCCACCAGGCCGGCCC